TCCCCAGTTAGGGTGTGCAGAAGGCAGCTGATCGATGTTTCTCTCTCATCAATATTTTTTACTATCCCTCTCCCTTCCTCTCTGTAAAAAAAAATCAATAAAATATATTTAAAAAAATAAATAAATAGAAGTTCAGTAAGTGCATGTGTGAAGTGCCTAGTCTCTTATTAAAACCTTTCCTGTTCTCTGGAAAACTGTCAATATGTAACAAAGAGCCTATGAAACGGACATACAGAAAGAAATTGTTGCCATTTTGATGCAAAAGTTCTCCATTTGATTTGTGTCTTAGTCTCATTCAGGCTGCTATATTACAAAATACTAGACTGGTTACCAAACAACAGACATGTATTTCTCACATTTCTGGAGCCCGGAAGTCTGAGTCAGGGCACAGTCATATGAGAGCCCTCTTGGTCACAGACTTCTTCTATCCTAGCTCTCTGTGGCACTAATCCCATTCATGAGGCTCTGTCTTAATGACCTAATCACTAGCCAAAGGCCCCCACCTCCTAATGCCATCACCTTGGGCATTAGGTTTTCTTATTCACTCACCAGTTGATGGATATTTGGATTGTTCCCACTTTTTGGATATTATGAATAATGTTGCTATTAACTTTCATGTACATGTGGTTTTTAAAAAATATTTTTATTGATTTGAGAGAGAGAGAAACATCAATGATGAAATAGAATCACTGATTGGCTGCCTCCTGCATGCCCCCTTCTGGGGATCGAACCCACAACCCAGGCATGTGCCCTTGACCAGAATCGAACCTGGGACCCTTCGGTCTGCAGGCTGACACTCTATTCACTGAGCCAAACCGGTGAGGGCAATGTACACGTTTTTATGTGGACATGTTTTCATTTCTTTTGGGTAATTTACTGGGTCATATGGTGGGGTTGCTGGGTCATATAGTGACCTTATGTTTATTCATTTGAGGAATTGCTAGACTATGTCCATAGTGGCTATGGAATTGCTAGACTGTCCACCATTTACATTCTTACTAGCAGCGTAAGAGGAGTCCACTTTCTGCACATACTTGCTGACAGTTGATGTTGTCAGTCTTTTTGATTACAGCCATCCTAGTAGGTGTAGAGTGGTTTCTCATTGTGGTTTTGATTTCCCTGATGGCTAAGGTGATGTACATCTTTTCATGTGCTTATTGGCCATTTATGTCTCTTTTGGAGGAATGTGTATGCAAGTACTTTGCCCATTTTTAAATTGGGTTATTTTTTAAATTATTCAGTTATAATTAGCTTTTTTTTAAAAAAAATTGATTTCAGAAAGAGGAAGGTGGGGAGTGAGAGAGACAGAAACATGGATGTGAGGTGGATGTGAGAGAGAAACATCGACTGGTTGCCTCCTGCATCGGGGATGGAACCCGCAAACTGGGTATGTGCCCTAACCAGGAATCAAATCCACTACCTTTTGATGTATGGAATGATGCTCCAACCAACTGAGCCACACCGGCCAGGGTGTATTTATATATTTATTTAAGCTTTGATTTTTAAAAGCAGTAAGATCAATTTTTCTTTCCTAACAAGAAATTGTTTTATGTGAATGTCCTGGAACTGAATCCCTACCTCCTAGATTGGTGATGAGGCTCTCATACCTCCTACTTTATTAGCGGCTGTTAGCTTGTGACTGGTGACTTGGGATACAGAGATGTAGAGGTAATGCTTTCTATATAATACTGTTCTAGGTGCTAGGATCATTGTGTTTCAGGTATATTAAGCCATTATTCTGAGAGCCGACATTCTTGGACATGTTCAAAAGAATAACATAAACACTTGTGTTGATGACTTTATTATCATGCAGAGGTTTGTGAATTTCACCTCAATTAAAAAACTTTCCCCCCCACTTGTAACAAAACCTAAAAACTTGCTGAAGCTAGTCAGATATTTGGATATCTATGAGGCAGTTTTGGTCGCACCCCCCACCTTCTTTCTTTGGCTCTGGTAATTGGTGTGGTGGTCTTGACAAAAAGCACTTGGTACAGTCCCGGGCACAATATAAAAGCTCCTTCATTGTTAGAGGTTCTTTTTTGGTCAAGGAAGAAGGAAGATTTCCCTCAATGTTAGCCCTGCCTCCAGGAGTGCATTTGAGGCTTTGGTTTCCTTCCTTCACCTTTTGTAGCTACACTTGTAATTCAGTCTCTCATCTTCCTTTCTGTGTTCTTTCCTATTTGTGTAGCCCATTGCACCAGAAATTCTCACCCACCAGATTGCTTCCTTCTTCCTTCTGTATTGCCTTTCTGGCCTTAAGGTGGAGCAATGTCCCTCCTCCCTTGGGCCCAACACTGGCCCATGTTTCCTGCTCTCCTCTGCTGATTCTTCTGTAGTAGCTTCTCTCTTTCTGTAGCTGTAATGGTTGAGGCGAAACAAGGCACAGGGCCACACATAAAAGTAATTTTGCTGCCAACCTTAGGGTACTGGGATTATGCCTTCATGTTGGTGGAAGCTACTGAGCTTAAATAAGCCAGGCACAGGCTTTGTGAACAAATGCCACTAGGCAGTATGACTTAAGAAGCGGAGGACATCTGCCTTGCAGACTGAAAGACAATGGATAGCAGCATGAGCAAAGTTATGAAAGAATATAGACAGTATAGGTTGAGTTTTATAACTACACTAGAGGCCCAGTGCACAAACTTCGTGCACGGGTACAGTCTCTAGGCCTGGCCTGCAATCAGGGCCATCTTCCCCGGTAGCCGGCAGCCCGCCCCGCTCCCCGCCACCACCCACCCCCAGTTCCCCATTCACCATCGGGTGATTGGAGCCTGCTGCCCAGGGAGAGGGACTGGGAGGTTGGCCTTTCCTGCCCATTCACTGGTCTGTCCCTCGATGCTGGTCGCTCTCTGTGTGTGGTGCAACTGGCGGGGCAGGGGCCTTGATCTGGTGCCGCCTGCGTCAACCACCACCCACCCCCAGTTTCCCATTCCTCCTTGGACAGTCAGGGGCTACGGGCTGTGGGCAGCTCCTTCGTTTGAGCGTCTGCCCCCCTGGTGGTCAGTGCACGTCATAGTGACCGGTGGTTCTGCCGTTTGGTTGATTTGCATATTACCCTTTTATTATATAGGACTAGAGGCCTGGTGCATGAAAATTCATGCACTGGAGGGGGGATCCCTCGGCTCAGCCTGCCCCCTCTCATAGTCCAGGAGCCCTCAGGGGATGTCCTATTGATGGCTTAGGCCCGCTCCTGGGCCTTGCAGCCACCGGGGCTCATAGCTACCGTGAGCCGCAGGCCTTGTAGCCGCTGTGGCATTGTCCGGATGGACATCTGGAAGATGTCTGCCCTAATTAGCATATTGCCCTTTTATTAGTATAGATATGCATAATATATATAGATATCTAGAATGAAAAGCCTTTGTGTGTACTGTATATGCATAGAGAACATACTAGGACCATGTAGCAGGGGGCTGACAGTCATTATCCTGGGCAGTGGGGGGTTTAATACTACTTTTTTGGCGTAGATGGTATATTTTTATGAAAAATAACAGTAAGGTTACTTCTGTTCTTGAGGGGAAAGTGAATTAAGCTGTGAGAGGTAAAGTTCCTTGTTGAATTCAATTCATGGAGATTGTAATTTTAAATTTAGATATAATTCAGAGAGTAGTAATAATAGATTGGTAAACCAGTTCTAGAAATACTTATTTCCACTAATATTTCTTTTCAAGGGGAATATGATGAAATTCATTCATGTTAGAATATTTGTTGACTGTGCTATGAAAAGTCCTACAATGCAAATTGTTGAAAACAGTAGAGAGAGCCCAGCCGATGTGCTCAATGGTTAGCGTCGACATGAACCAGGAAGGAGGTTGCGGTTCGATCCCCAGTGGGTGGTGTGCAAGAGGCAGCCGATCAACGATTCACTCTCTTCATTGATGTTTCTGTCTCTCTCCCTCTCCTTCCCTCGCTGAAATGAATAAAAATACATTTTAAAAAATAAAATACGGAGTCTAGGTGATAATGATATGTCACTGTGGGTTGACCAATGGTAACAAATATACCATATTATTGCAAGATGTTGATTGTGAGGAAGCTGTGTATGTGCAGGCCAGGGCAGTTTTGCTTGCTGCAAAGCTAAAATGACTCTTACATAGTCTTTTTATTTTTATTTTTTAATATATTTTATTGATTTTTTACAGAGAGGAAGGGAGAGAAATAGAGAGTTAGAAACATCGATGAGAGAGATTCAGTCCGCAGGCCGACGCTCTATCCACTGAGCCAAACCGGTTTCAGCAAGTCTTTTTAAAGAAAATAAGGCAGAATGTCAATCTCAGGCCTTTTCACAGCTTAGCAGACATCTTGCTCTAGAAATACTGATTGATTAATGGTTTCCCTAACGGTGGTAAAGCTTCAGTTGATATGCCACTTGAAATAAATTAATTTCAAGTTAACGGAACATTCCTGTCCTAGCGGCAGATTCGTTTACCATGGTGTGTTCATCTTGATCTCTTTCTCCGCAGGACAACCCTCCATATGATAAGGGGGCCTTCAGAATCGAAATCAACTTTCCAGCAGAATACCCATTCAAACCACCGAAGATTACATTTAAAACAAAGATCTATCACCCCAACATCGATGAAAAGGGACAGGTCTGTCTGCCAGTAATTAGTGCTGAAAACTGGAAGCCAGCAACGAAAACCGACCAAGGTAAAGCATGCTCCTATGTCTTCTGATGGTGCTCTTCTGGGGCTGCTGCTGGGACGGGCTCCACGGTGCCTTCTAATGCCATGTCACACACATTCCAGAGAAAGCTCACTTACAAACTCCCATGCACACACAAGTGCAACTGAGGTCCCACCAGTCCTGTGGGCATGTTGACCTACAGTTGGTGGCAGGTGTTTGAGGAGGCCCTTCCTGTGCTTGCATCCCAGTGAGGGCACATGTAGACAGACCAGCCCAGTACTTGGTGCCAGTGCAGGGAGGGATGTAGGCACTGTTCCTGGGAGGTTCATGAAGGATTGTGGGGCTGCCTCGCAGGAAGGTGGAGTGGTGTTTAAAGTGGCTTCACACAGCAGTTAGCAAGCGTACTCAGACATGAAGGATGATGGGAGGTTATAGAGGGCCTTCTAGACTAAAAGAAGGGTACGAGCCAAAGCCACCTGGTAGGCAGCAGCAGCAGAAAGCCAGTGGCTCAGAGTGGGTGGTGTGGGGGTGGCGGATATAGTTAGACCCGAGGGCTGTGTGCCCAGATGAAAGCACATAATTGGCTTTAGCAGGCCTGGAACTCCCTGGAATTGGATGTGGCCATTTGTGTCCATGTTCTGAGTATCTCTGTGTAAGCATACATACCCCTGGGGGTGGGAGAGTGCTTAATTCAGTATTACTGTTGGCCTCCCTCTTGTCCCCTGAAAGTTACTAGATTTTGTGTGGCCATGTCTGGTTTTTATTTCCTAGCTCCAGAACTTTCTTTTGAAGTCCTAATTTTATATTTTCTTATAAGTAACCAGCCAATCACTATAAGGTCTTTTTAGATTAAAGAGAGTAGGTAAGGCTGGCATTTTCTAGACTGCAGGTAGTTTTTCAGTGAATGATATAGTCATTTTTCAGTAAAACCCCTGAAAAATGGAGTTGAAAGCCTTTCATATGGAAAGTTCAGCCTCAGGCTCAACACAGCTGAGTAGTAGAAAGGAGTGGGTACTAAATGCTGAGTCAGAATAGAAAGATCTCCAGTGGATTTGGCATTTGGTCATTTTGATGTTTATAAAAGCTTGACAGTTATTTTTTTAAAACAGTATATTTGAGAGAGAGAGAGAAACATCGATTTGTTGTTTCACTTATTCATGCATTCATTGGTTGATTTTGTGCCCTGACCAGAGATTGAATCCACAACCTTGGTGTATCAGTACGATGCTCTAACCAACTGAGCTACCCAGCCAGGGCCGACAAAGTTATTATTTTTTAAAATATATTTTTATTGATTTCAGAGAGGAATGGAGAGGGAGAGAGAGATAGAAACATCAGTAATGAGAGAGAACCATTGATTGGCTGCCTCCTTCACTCCCCCCACTAGGGATCAAGCCCACAATGTGGGCATGTGCTAGGGCCAACAAAGTTATTCTTAAGTGCAGATGCATGATAGATAGATACAGATACAGATACAGATACAGACTGATAGATAGATATAGATACAGATACAGATACAGATACAGATACAGATACAGATACAGATATAGATATATTAGACAAATTCCAAGCTCTGTGTTGGAAGGCTATAGCTGCACTTGCTTAGGAATGCCTTGTCAGCCACTCATGCAACTCCCAGAGCCCTTGCCAAGTTGTGTGTATTAAACAACATGTCCGAGAAGGGGAAGTCCTTCCAGGCCAGGCTACCCAGGCAGACCCTGCACCTCAGATTGCTAGGTCACAGAGAATTACACATCTCTTCCTTATTGAGAACTGGGGTTGTGAGGGGTCTACAGGTGGACTGTATAGGAGACGACATGTTGTGACACATCCAGGAGTAGGGAGGATTGCAGGAGATGAACATAAGTAAGTGTTTTGCACCTCATATAGTTGCTGGCTGCCCAAGAGGGCTGTGTCAGTATTATCCCTGTTTTGGGGTAATGAAAATATTCTGGAGTTGAATGGTAGTGTCCAGATAATTTTTTTAATATACTAAAAACAACTGAATTGTATACTTTTAATCCTTACCCAAGGATATAGTTATTGATTTTTGAGAGAGAAACATCAATCAGTTGTCTCCCATACACACCCCAACTGAGGATCAAACCCGCAACCTTGTTGGTGTGTGGGACAACGCTCCAACCAACTGAGCCACCTGTCTTGTATACTTTCAAAAGAAGTTTGTTTTTTAATATGTGAATTATATCTCAAATTTTTAAAAGAAAGGAAGCATTAAAAATTGAGCACAAATAGCATGAGAAACGTCAAGAAACAAGGCAAAATTATATCAAACAGGAAGCTGGTAGGAGTTGGCAGTGATACCAGGAAATGTGAAAATAAAGTTTTGTTCAGCCACCTGCCTGATTCTGGTAGATATCTTAGTGGCAGAGCAGGAGCTTAGTTGAGTACTTTAATGAGATTTACCATATAAAATACAGCCAGTAACAAAGCCAGCATAATATTGAGTCTGTGTGTATCAAACAACATAACAAAATTATATGGAGCCCTGGCTGGTGTGCGCAGTGGTTAGAGCATTGGCCTGTCCACTGGTGGGTCTGGATTCCTGGACTGGGGTACGAACCTGGGTTGCAGGTTTGATCTTGGTCCCGGTCAGGGGGCAGGGTGTGTGGGAGGCAGCCAGTCGATGTGTCTCTCTCACATCACCCCACCCTTTCCTTGGATGAGAATTAACCAAAGCAAAATTTGTATGGAGAAAATTAAAACAATTTAAAATGAAAGTTTCAACCCCCCAAACACTATTATAACAAATCAAGTAGATAAAGTTATAAAAAAGGACTCAAGAAATATAACAAAGAGGATATTAGTTAACATTTTTATAAAGCATTCTATGGAAGGTACCATTCACAATTTACTCTGTGAGAATGAAGCACCCTAGATATCCATAAAAAGGAAGAAATTATAGTGTTAACATCCTCTAATACAAGAAAACTGCCAATAAGAACAAAAATGAGATTTCATAGGCTTTACCCTCTGATCATATATAGGATGGGGCAAAAGTAGGTTTACAGTTGTTCATATGGAAAATAATACAGTAATTAATACATAATAATACAAGAATAAACTTTTGTGTACTCAGCTGTAAACTTACTTTCGCCCTACCTCTACAGTGAGAGAATAGGAGGTAAATTTTGATTGTTTTTAAAGTCTTTCTTTTGGAAGAAAAAAGTGCTTCTGGGAAGCACCTGGCTCAAGAAAGAGATCAAGAAACCAGAGCCAGACATTTATAAAGTAAAATGAGCCTGCTGTTCCATATATAAAAAAATAATGGGATAGGGCCATAGTTGTAGTTTGACAAACAGTCATAGATATCAGTGTTCTCACCATCAAAACAAGCTAAGCTAAACTGCGTTTATTATAGTTTAGCTGAGGAGCCAGAAATGCACCCAAAGGAAACAGAAAGAATGAAATACTCATCAGAACTACTAAATAAATTTGAAAATATTTAGACTCGATCAAAAAGTAAAAGCAAGTTCTTGGGAAAATAGCAAACTGCAGAGTGAGTATCTTTTGAAAATCATGTCTTAATAATTACCAAATGATTTTATACTAATGCATTGGATATTAAGGTATAATCATAGTAAGAAACCAAGAGCCTGAGTATCCATAACAGAGAGTGGGCAGGGAAACTCATCAGTGCTCCCCCACATCCCCCCCAAAGCATTTACTCCTGTGGGGTTCCCAGAATGCTAATGAAGCAGCCATTCTGCTAGGAAACAATTTCTGATTATGAACAAAAGACTAGAAGCTACCTATTTATGCTATCGAACTTAAAAGGAATGAAGAGGCTTTGCTTAGAAGATTGATTCAAGCTTAGAGTATGTAAACTGGAAACACAGCTGGGCAAAACGTAGAAGTGCTGCAAAGGAGAAAGAAAGCTGAGCCCATGCCTTCGCCTGCCCCTGCCCCAGGCATGCTACCATTATCTTCCTCGCTCAGGACTTGCCTTCCAGCACATCTAGGATTTACTGCTTTGGGGGGGAGCATTGTAGAACCCACCCAAGCCCATCCATGTGACTTCTGCTTCTGAAATAGACAGTGTAATTCTACTGGGGGTTAGCCTCCCAGTGGTTTTAACCCCTAGTGCAGTGATGGCGAACCTATGACACGCGTGTCAGAGGTGACGTGCGAACTCATTTTTTTGGTTGATTTTTCTTTGTTAAATGGCATTTAAATATATAAAATAAATATCAAAAATATAAGTCTTTGTTTTACTACGGTTGCAAATATCAAAAAATTTCTATATGTGACTCGGCACCAGAGTTAAGTTAGGGTTTTTCAAAATGCTGACACGCCGAGTTCAAAAGGTTCGCCATCACTGCCCTAGTGGTTAGACAGGGTGGTCCAATGACCCTTTCTCAGCTGGTTTAAAAGCTCTTCGGGGTCTTCCAGGGTGGACTCATTATGCACTTACATGCTGCATGCCGGTCTTGCACCCTTCATTCTCATACTCACTCATTGAAACTACCCTAAACTGAGTGCAGTTCTGGAACACATCACCCAGTCTCTGCTCCGGAGAAGCTTCACGCATGCACACATGAGAGAGACTAGGGGCTGGGACATTCAGAGGAAGAGGAGGCGGCAGCAGCGGCATCACTCTGAACAGTTATCCACTGTTGACTGTCGTCCATCACTTTATCCTCACTACAGAGGAAAGTTAAGTGCTTGTGGTTAGAATTGTGGATAAATCAGAGGCCGCTTTGCCTTAGAAGCACATAGATATAAATCAGTATTAGAGTCAGAGTTGCATATCTTGCCTGGGCCCTTTCTGAGACTATTGTAACCAGCAATGCCTTCTCCTTTTCTTGGCAGTAATCCAGTCTCTCATAGCACTGGTGAATGACCCCCAGCCTGAGCACCCCCTTCGGGCTGACCTAGCTGAAGAATACTCTAAGGACCGTAAAAAATTCTGTAAGAATGCTGAAGAGTTTACAAAGAAATATGGGGAAAAGCGACCTGTGGACTAAAATCTGCCACGATTGATTCCAGCAAGTGTGAGCAGAGACCCCGAGCAGTGCATTCAGACACCCCGCAAAGCAGGACTCTGTGGAAAATTGACACAGGCCACCACCTGGCGTTTGCTTGTGGCAGTTACTAACTTTCTACAGTTTTCTTAATCAAAAGTGGTCTTAGGTAACCTGTAAAGAAAGGATTAAAAATTTAAGATGTTCTAGTTCTGCTTTCTTTGTTTTAAAAATCACTGCTTCAGTCTACTCTAAAAGAATGGTGTTTCTTTTCTTGTCCAAATTTATCCAAAATCTTCCATTTACATTTAGACCTTAAGGTTTAAAATAAAAGGTTGTGGTTCCCTTTCTTCCCATGCCCTTTCAGCACCACTCTCTTGCATTCAGTTTCTTTTTCATTCATTCACTTTGCCAGACCCAGGCCCCACCTCTGCAAGGAGAAGAGACAGCTCTGTCTGGTCTGGTGACTTCTCTTCTCCCATGTTGCAGTGCGTGTGGGAGTTCATTTAAGTTCTCCTGATTCCAATTTGTAACATACTTTAAGAACAATTTTTTTAAAGTAAGCAAACCACCATCCCCCCCAAAAATAACTATGAAAAGGAGGCCCACTTCTTATGTAAAAATCTTGCCAATGTTATCATCATAACACTGATTAAATGGCAACCCTGATGTCTGTGTGTGTGACTGAACACTAGCTGGCCTGGCCTGCCTGGGAAGACCCTGCAGTATCAGGTCTGTGGCCACCCAGGGAGGGCCTGCCAGCCAGAGGACACTGCACTTGTGTGAGGAATTTCTCATCAGAGAGGCTCCTGGGGTCAAAGGTTTACGCTCCTCCCTGCAGCCGTTTTAGAAGATGTGCTGGCCTTTACAGACAACGCTAAAGCCAGAATGTCCATTTGAAATTCCACGCCCACCAGTCAGCAAGCTCCATCCGAATGTGCCACCAAGCCGATCTCCACCTCCTCAGTGCAGCAGCCCCGCCTCAGCCCTCCTTCAGCAGTTTGACCCTTTGCAGGGTTGGAATTGGCAAGACTCAGCTAGAGCCAGAACCAGTCCGGGGTCACCGATGCTCTCCTGGCCTCTCCCTTTGAAGCAGCCGGCCAGGCCAGCCCAGGAACAAGACGGCCTTCCCTCCCTCCGGACTCACAGCCTTTGCAGAGTCAAGCTCCACTTGAAGCCCACTGAGTAATACCCTCTACATGTGTTTTATATTGTTTTGACTGCCTTTTTTTTGTAGAAATAAAAATTGACCTTAGAATTTATCCTCAGATGAACTTGTAAGGATTTGAATGTTAATGTCTTTTTCAAAGCAAGTGGGACTGTCCCTGAAATAGTAGAGCAAACATGTCACTGACACCCAGAGGAAGGTGCTGGTCCAAATGCCATGTGTCACCAACTCCGCTTCGGCCACTGGCAGCTTCCCTTCCTGACTCTCCAGGGTATTAGATTCTGTGGAGAAATGACTTAAAGAAACTGCTCATTTTAGTTTTAAAACGAGATCCTTCCAGGGCTATAACCTCTAAGACAGCTTGGTCTTACTGCACAGAACTGGGATGATGTGCAGGTTAATGTCGTTTAGTTGTCCGGGCACGTGGTCCCTGCAGTGTGTCATTGATTCAGCTGCTTTAGTCCAAGATACTCAAGGGGCAGGCTCTGGAGACTCCTGCCTGCTCAGGGGAGCTGGGCCAGCATTTCCACATCTGTCTCTTCATTGGCAGAAAGGTAATGATGGACGTTATTTCACTTACATACAGATTTGTAATAAAATGCCAAATTCTGTCGGAAGCTAGCCAAGTAAGCCACCATCGTTGCTTCTCTGAATCCAAAATTATTGCCATTCTTGGAACCATCCCATTGCTTCGTGTTTCTACCAGCATAGTTCTGCCTGCCTGTTGTCCTTCACTTCTCTGTTCACCACAGGAGGTACCTTTTGTCAATGCCGGCAGCACCTCAGGGGACTCTTAGCCCTGGCATTGCACCCCTTGGTTTGTCCAGTCAGGAGAGGCCTGGCCCTGGGAAAATGAGGCCATGGGGGGTCCTTCCCTCATACCTGGGTGGCTTGCTCCATCCAGCCTGCAGCAGTTCCGGGTGGTAGCTGAGCCTTCAGAGCAGGCTTTGAGCACGCTGGTGCCCTGGCAGCTCTGAAATCAAATAAGCTGGGTCCTCTGGGGGAGGGGAGAGCTGTCACCCACTGTCCCGAGCCCACTCAGGAATTCACACCCGCCTGAACTGAACCAAAGTGGGCCAGGTCCTCCCCCTCCTTCCTGCCCCTGCCCACCATGGCAGAGAATAGGCTTTCTAAAGATGCTGCGATCCCGTTCTGCTGCCCTTAATAAAAATGCTCTCCAACACTGGTTTGGTTGTGTGGGTTTCTTCCTTACTGGCGGTGGGCCTGCACTCAGTGGTGTGGGAGGGGTGGCTGGTGCCCAGGTCGTAGGGCCTCTGGTCTCCTGAAGCTTTTGCCTGCTCCTATTTTCCCATGACCCAGCCTCCAAAAGAGGCACAGAAAAAGCTGAAGAGTCCAGAGTATTGGGGCTCCCTTGGCTGTCTGGGGAGCAGACAGCACCTCTATGTATCACTTCAGTCAGATCAGCCCCTAAAGAGTGATACCCACATTCAGCAGAAGAGCAAACTGGCTTTTTATTTATTTATTTTTTTATTGATTTCAGAGAGGAAGGGAGCAGTGGGGAGAGAGAGAAACATCAATGATCGTCTGCCTCCTGCATGCCCCACACTGGGGATCAAGCCTGCACCCAAGCATGTGCCCTTAACTGGAATTGAACCTGGGACCCGTCTGTCCGCAGGCCAACACTCTTATCCACTGAGCCAAACCAGCCAGGGCCAAACTGGCTATCTTTTGTTGTTAATCCTCACCCGAGGATCTTTTCCCCCCACTGATTTTTAGAGTAGAAGGGCGGGGAGGGGGGGGGGGAGAAACAGTGATTGCCTCCTCCCTGACCAGGGCCAGGATCAAGCCTGCAACTGAGGTCCGTGTCCTTGACCAGCATCAAACCCAGGACCCCTCAGTCCGAGGGACCATGCTCTAGGTGCTGAGCCAAGCCCGCTAGAGCGAGCAAACTGGCTATCCTGATTGAGGTCATGGAATTAATGGGTGTGTACCTGAGGGAGTCCTTAGATCATTTCCTTGAGGGGTTACCCCCAGAAACCTCCTGAGCCTCCAGGACAGTGGGCAGCTGAGGCATTGATTCAGCCCAGGGCCATGACCATTTATTTATGTTAATCCTCGCCTGGGGATATTTTTTCCATTGATTGTGTTAAAAATTTGTTTTTACTGCTTTCAGAGAGAGAGAAACATCAATGATTAGAAAATCGTTGATCGGCTGCCTCCTACATGCCCCACACTGGAGATCAAGCCAACAACCCGGGCATGTGCCCTGACTCAGAATCAAACTGAGTCAAACTGTGACCTCATGGTTCATAGGTCGATGCTCAACCACTGAGCCATGCCAGCCAGGCTCCATTGATTTTTAGAGAGAGGAAGGAGTAGAGACAGAAATATCGATGTGAGAGAGACCATCAATTGGTTGCCTCCCACGTGCACCCTGACCAGGGGCCAGGGATCCAGTAAGTGACTTGACCAGAATGGAACTCAAAAGCCTTCAGTCTGAGGGCCAGTGCTCTACCCACTGAACAGCCGGCTAAGGCTTATTTTTTTAATTTGATGTTTTTAGAGAAGAAGGGAGAGAGAAGGAGAAATCTTGATTTGTTATTTCACTTATTTGTGGACATATTGGTTGTTTCTTGTATGTGCCCTGGCTGGGGATCAAACTCACAACCTTGGCACATTGGGGCGATGCTCTGCTAAGCCAGGACATCTGACACTATTTTCTATCAGCTTAGTTCCTTGCCTGTAATGACACCAGCTGAGAGCAGGCCTGCATGTTTCTGGGAGCGAACATTTTACCTGGCATTTATTTTACCAGGAAGCAGGAAGCAGTCCTTTCCTTTGATCATTGGCTGGGGTTCTCTGCCATGTCCCAGCACTTTATTCCCTTTGAACCTCAGGACAACCCCATGGGCACCATTATTCCAATTTTTACAGAGGAAGAGACTAGGCATCTGTGACAGCCAAGGGCACATGGCCTGTGTTCTTACACAGTCTAGCTCCATTACTGGTCTCTCTGAGCCCAGATGCACCCACAGTTCCCCCTTCCCCAAAGCCAGAGGCCTGCAAGACCCTCTCCACTTCCTGAACTCTGGAATTAACATTTTCTTGCCTTCATTGTTGTTGGGTTGTTGTTTTAATTGATTTTAGAGAGGAGGGGAGAGGGTAAGAGAGAAAAACATTGGTGTGAGAGAAACATGGATCAGTTGCCTCCCGAATGCATCCGGACCTGGGATCGAACCTGAAACCTGGGTATGTGCCCTGACCAGGAATCAAATCCAAGACCTTTCGATGCACAGGATGACACTCCAACCAACCGAGTCACACTAGCCAGGCCCTTCCTTTGGTCTAATTCAGTGATGGCGAACCTATGACACGCATGTCAGAGGTGACATGCGAACTCATTTTTTTGGTTGACTTTTCTTTGTTAAATGGCATTTAAATATATAAAATAAATGTCAAAAATATAAGTCTTTGTTTTACTATGGTTGCAAATATCAAAAAATTTCTATATGTGACACCACACCAGAGTTAAGTTAGGGTTTTTCAAAATGCTGACATGCCAAGCTCAAAAGGTTCACCATCACTGGTCTAATTCAAAATATGGGCCTTACTCTCTCCTGTGCCCACAGCAGCCTGACTTCTGCCACCCTCTAGCTCCAAGGTTCCTCTGGCAAGGGCCTCAGGACTTCCTCAAGGCCAAGTCCATAGACTGGTGGCCTCACCCTGCTCTTGTTACTTGGCAGCACCTCAGTGCCCCGCCCTGCAGGGCAGCCACCTGACGCAGAAGAAGGCAAAGCCTGAGTTGGTCTGAGTTCTTCCGGCCCCAGCACCAAATTGGCTTCCCTCATGCAACGTGGAGGAATGTCACCAACCTGAGGACTGGAGCTGAAGTTGGGACTTCAGCATAGTGCCTGGGCTGGGCAGTACTTGTTAATGGCTAATCTGGGTGCTTAGAAGTGTTTTTTGGAAAACTTTTTTTTTTTAAAATAATCTCTAGTCTTCCTTTTAATTGATTTTAGAGAGGAAGGGACACACAGAGAGAAACATCAATGAGAGAATCATTGATCAGCTGCCTGCTGAATTCAGCCCCCCACTGGGGATCGAGCCCACACCGGGGCATATGCCCTGACCTGGAATAGAATTGTGACTCCTGGTTCATAGTTTGATGCTCAACCACTGAGCTACACTGGCAGGTGACTTCTTTCTCAATAAAAATTGAGATTATAATATACCTCCTAAAAGGTATCCAGGTGAGACATTCTTCTCCTCTCACACCTCCCAAAAGAAAACAAAAGCTAAGCATGAACAAAATGAGTGTGAAACTTGTTTTATATGTCTTTTCTGGAATAGTGACCGGATCTGGGCCCTGGGAGTTGCTTTTGCCTGCCCCTGTGTAACAGTTTTCTGGGCACAGTTTATAAACCATTCAATTTTTACAAGACACATTATTTTATTAATATAGTGGTCTCTCCCCACTACGCCTAAACAAAGACGATGCTTACGTAGAAATGTGAAGAGCAGAAAATGTTTGGCAGGCCCCATGCTGAGATATCACAGGCTGACCCACCTGCAGCCAAAGGGCTTGCCAAAGGTCTGGCTATCACACTGAGGCATGAGGATCTGGGCAAAGAGGTGGCATCATTCTGCCAGGGAAGTCACAGAACCCCCTCTGGGTTTGGTTGTGGGCTGTGCCAAAGCTCAAACCTTGCCACGTCCCTGAGCACTAAGGCATTAGTCCTTGGCTGTCAGGGTCATGGTTGGGAGGACTCCAGGAAGGTTGCTAGAGTGGCTTCACCAGGTCTCTTGGACTCTAGGTCATGGAGGGCACAGAGCTGCACGCCATCCTGGGCCAGCCGGGTCTGCAGCGTGGGCTCTGTGAGGACACGCAGCTCATGCAGCCGTTCCCAAGAGCAGGAAAAGGCGTCGGGGCCCTCACCGCAGCCTCCAGCGGGAGGCACACTGGGGTAGCCTGGGTGGGCCATCAGCTCCGCTGTCAGGGGGTGACCTGTGTGTGTACCTTCCAGGGCCCGAGCCAGTGCTCCTGACACACGATGAGCAGACATGTGCCGGCCACAGGTGCTCAGACCCACGAAGGCATCCGTCCACCTGTGGATACCCAGGCATCAGAGCACAGACGAGCAGGACAGTGATGGGCAGGGCTAGGCCAAGGGCAGATGAGAAAGGAAGGTACTCAGCTAGCCAGCTGGACCCACTGGGACCTGAGCCAGGTAGGGAACAGGGCACAGCAGTTTGGGGGTCCTCACCTTAGGCCACTGCGGGAGAAGGGGCCCACAGCAGCCCGGGCATCGCGCTCCACTGCACACGCGAAGGCGCGAGCGGGGGCCTCCAGCCAAGTACAGTCGCCCAATCCTCGCTCCAGCGGCAGGCGTGTGAAGCGCACCCCATGGGCCTGCAGCGCCTCTGCAAGCCCCCGCCTGCGGGCGTGGGGGGGGGGCGCTGTCAGGGAGGGGCACCCCTCACCGCACCTGGGCACCCCGCCTCCTGCCCGGCACCACCAACCTGGGAGCACGTGCACATGCTGGTGCCCATCCACGTGGGTGGGTTTCCTGCCCAGTAATTCCTGGAAGCGACTCAGCTGCGCCTCCAGCTCTTCCCGCACCTGGAAGGAGAGGACTATGGCACCTTAAACAGCCGGGAGCAGCTACCGATGAGGACCAGCTACCCACCCCCCACCCCCCACCCCCGTGCCTCGGGGAGATGCTCCAGAGTTGGAACCAGGCAAGCATCCAGAGCCCGCTCCCGGTCCCGCCCCTGATGGCGTCATGGTACCCTCTGGGAGGAGCCTTGGGGGATGTCCTCCTCCTGCAGCCGCACTTCCGCACCTGGGACAAAGCTACATCTTTGGCTGCCACCGCCTCCCGGAATCGCATCTTGCCCAGGAAGAAGCCTTCGGGGCTGAGCAGCGACGAGGCGCCGTGGCGGGCCGGGCCCACGGGGCGGCCCTCGGACAGGTTGGCGTGGAGTCCCGTGGGGATTCGGTGCCTGAGGGTGGAACGCGAGCCGGAGCACAGGCGGCCACCGAGCGGCGGCGCCCAAATCCCATTCTGACTCGGGGGGTCACTCACCTGCGGGCCAGTTCCGCCGCGCTCTCCGCCGTCGCGCCGTTGACCAGCAGGGACACGCTGGTCACAGCTCCGGCCAGGAAGGCCTCCACGATGCCCTCATCCCGCCGCGGGCAGTACCCAAAGTCGTCCGCAGTCACCACCAGCCGCACGCGCGGCCAAGCCATCCCTCAGCCAGAGCGCGCGGCTGGGCACCTGATGGGAGTGAGCCGGCCAGTCCAGGCTCCGCCCTGAAACGCAGCCCAGGCCCCTCCCCGACGCCCACACCCGGACGCGTCCCCACTTCGCCTTTGTTCTTGCCACCTAGTGGCCCCGCCGTGGCCCTGCAACGACCTCCCGCCTCCCGGTGGGCTCCAAACCAAGCCGACCACGGCCAGGGCTAGATTTATTGCAACGCGACGCTTTCAGCGACTGCAGAAATAACATTTAGTATGAAACATGCAGAAGAGAAAGCCTGAAGAAAGAAATCGCTTACCCTTCCCCGAGATTACCACTGTCAATTTTCTGGAGACAGTGTCCTTCCAGGATTTTCCCTAAGCAAATAGACACACCTAATTCCTCTTCTCTCCTTCCCCACGTTTTGAGAAATAATGATCATATCAATGTTATCTCATTTTTGTAATGTTTCATTTTTTTAAAAAAAATGTTTTTTATTGATTTCAGAGAGAGGAATGAGAGATGGAAACATCAATGATGAGAAGCATCGACCAGCCAGCCTCCTGCCTGTCTCCTGCTTGGGGATCGAGCCCGAAACCCAGGCATGCGCCCTGACCGGAAATGGAACGGGACCTCCAGGTTCATAGGTCGAGGCTCAACCACTGAGCCACACCTGTCAGGTTGTATGTTTCATTTTTCATAGTGACTGTGAACTTTTCCATGTTTTGATTAGCTCTTTATGTGTCTTCTTTCTCAAACTGCCTGTCTTTTACTGATTTTTTTTTAAAGGAGTGGCTTGTGTGTGTGTGTGTGTGTGTGTGTATGTGTGATTTATAAAAGCTCTAAACAATAAAATGAAAGAAAACATGTAATACCAATGGCTTCATTTGAGAAAGCATTAGCCCCTACTTCCGTCTCTTGAGCTCTGTGCCAGACTAATTTTTACATTCACAGCCTCCTTTTAATCTTTTTTTAAAAAACATATGTTATTGATTTTTCGGAGAGGGGGAGGGAGAGGGATAGTCAGAAACATCAATGAGAGAGAAACATCGATCAGCCGCCTCCTGCACACCCCCCCACTGGGGATGTGCCCACAACCAAGGTACATGCCCTTGACCGGAATCAAACCCGGGACCCTTCAGTCCGCAGGCCGACGCTCTATCCACCGAGCCAAACTGGCTACGGCTCCTTTTTTTCTTTGTGGTTCAGAGACGCTTTCCTTACCCATGACTGTACAAATAATCACATGGTTGATAACCAGGGTTTTCATTATGATGTCTTGATTTTCCCAATGGAAGTGCAGCATTTGTGTTCCGCCTATAACATTGATAATGTCATTTCCAATTACCAGTCTGTTTTACAGATGAAGAAACTGAGATTCAGAGAAGGTTAGTTTCTCCCCAAAGTGACCCTGCCCGGAGTAGTGGAGCTGGGACTACCTCCGGAGCTCTGAGCCTGCATCTGCATATGCTCTGGTCCTTTAGGCCCTGGCTGCCCCTAGTTCAGGGGCCGAGAGGAAAGAGCTGAGCTAGAGAATAACAAATGATACCAATTTCTGTGATGGCACAGTACGAAGTGGAGGCCTCAAAGAGCTCACTGAGCTCTTGGCATAAGGACTGACTGTTGTGTTCAAACATGATTATTAAATCATCAGACCTCACCCTAGCCAGTGTTGCTCAGTTGGTTGAGCATTTTCCCGAGCACGGAGAGGTCCCAGTTTGATTCCTTTCTCGGAACATGCCCGAGTTGTGGGTTCAATTCTCAGTAGGGGGCATTCAGAAGGCAGCCAATTGTTTCTCTCTCCACCTCCCTGTAAAGTCAATAAAAACATACTTTATTTTTTTATTTTTTTAAAATATATTTTATTGCCGAAACCGGTTTGGCTCAGTGGATAGAGCGTCGGCCTGCGGACTGAAAGGTCCCAGGTTCGAGATAGAGAGAGAAACATCAACCAGCTGCCTCCTTCACACCTCCTACTGGGGATGTGCCAGCAACCAAGGTACACGCCCTTGACCTGAGTCGAACCTGGGACCCCTCAGTCCACAGGCTGACGCTCTATCCACTGAGCCAAACTGACTTGGCCATACTTTTTTTTTTTTTTTTAAATCATCAGACCTCAATCAACCAGCATTCCCCACTAGGAAACTGATCCTGGAAAGGCCAAAAGTCTTTGAGTGTCTAAAGACTGGAAGAGGGAAATTAAAATTCACTGAGCATCTATTCTAATACTATGAGTGCTACTAGAAATATTAGAGATTAGGGGTGAGCACCTCAATCCCTAACTCCAAGGAGTGCCGCCTGGTAAAGTGTGGCAGAATCTGGAATGGGGTTTGCCACCATCCTGTTGGAGAAGGAAGGGTGAGCCTTTTGGGAAGGCTTCTCTGAGAGGTGACACCTGGGAAGGGGGCTGCATGAGAAGGAGTTTATCAGGCAGAGGGGGAGAGGAGGTAAAGATATATGGGGATCTTATGGGGTGTCGGGTGTGTTGTATGAAGTTGTAATCTCCAGCCCTAACCAGTTTGGCTCAGTGGATAGAGCGTCTGCCTGCGGACTGAAAGGTTCCCGGTTCGATTTCAGACAAGGGCCTGCACCTTAGTTGAGGGCACATCCCTAGTAGGAGGTGTGCAGGAGGCAGCTGATCGATGTTTCTATCCCTCTCCCTTCCTCTCTGTAAAAAATAAATAAAATATTTTTTTTAAAAAAAAGAAAATGTAGCCCTAACCGGTTTGGCTCAGTGGATAGAGCGTCAGCCTGCGGACTCAAGGGTCCCACGTTCGATTCCGGTCAGGGGCATGTACCTTGGTTTCGGGCACATCCCCAGTAGGGAGTGTGCAGGAGGCAGCTGATCGATGTTTCTCTTTCATCGATGTTTCTAACTCTCTATCCCTCTCCCTTCCTCTCTGTAAAAAATCAATAAAAAAAAAAAGAAAGAAAGAAAATGTAATCTCCATATTCCCTGCGGAAGGACATTCAATTCCCTTTATAAAAGAGGAGCAGAGATCATAGCGGTTGAGTCCACAGGCAGGAAACGACAGAGCTGGGAATGGAAGCTAGACCTGTGACTTAGAGCACGGACTCTTTCCTCTGCGCTCAGGGAGACTGCAGAAGGGAGCGGGCTCAAGAGAGACCTTGGGGTTGTCCACAATGGGCGAGGGGAGGACACTGGAAAGAAGAGCCGGAGGCCCAGGGCGACGCAGGGACCCGATTGGAGCCGAAGAATGTGCTTGTGTCACTAGAGACTTTTGACTTTGGCCCTTAGGCTCGCTTCCCTCGGGGCAGATAAAGGAGTGGGGATCGGATTGGGGATCAGAGCCGCTCGCTCCTGGCTCCCTGGCTCCCTGGCTCTGAATGTGGGAGTGACAGAACTGGATGAATTAGGGGAGGGGCCATCGCGGGCCCCGCCCACAACCTTTGTGTCGGGGGAGCTGGACAAAGGGCGCCGGTTGAGAGCCAATCAAGATGCCGCATGTAAATGACCCCGAGAGGCGTTCTCCGAGCGACTCCAGAGCAGTGTCGCTGCCCCCCAGCGGGCACAGATCGCACTGCCTGGCGCCATGCGAGGCGCCAACTTAGGTGAGTCGGGGGGTTCGGCCACGGACAGACGCCCGGGCGCCCGGGGTCTGGGAGGGGCGAGGATTGGAGATGGTCAAAGTCAGGATGAGGACGTCCTTGGGGACCCCAACCCCAACGGTTCCGGACACGGATGTGTATGCCGACGCCCAGGTGTCTCCAGGAGCAACGGCAGGGCCAGACCTCGGAGGGACTTGGGGTGGCGGGAGCGAGGGACCTGTGGACCCGGGGCCTCTGACGCAGTGTCCTACAGAGGGACGGAGACTCGAACCTATGGAAGCCTGGGGAGAAACTCACGCCTTCTCGCCGCCCGACGCGGAGAGGCGGCCGCGGCCGCACGGCAAAACGGAAGAGAGAGGACGGCTGGCAGCCGACAGGTGTACCCACATCATGAACACCTGCCGCCACCACTCCGGATACCTGGCGGACGATGAGGCCGGCCACATCACGTACCGGCCCCGGGTAGGTGTGCCCGGGAGGGCCTGACTCTGAGGCCCGGCCCCATAGCTCCCTCGCCAGCCAGCCCCAGTGCCCCAGATCACAACACCCTTTCCTCATTCCCACTGCGCTGACCCCCTGCCGGGCCCTAGTCACCCTCAATTGCTTTTTCTTTTTAAAGATATATCAGCACATAGGTATTTTTTTAAATATATTTTATTGATTTTTTTTTTATAGAGAGGAAGGGAGAGAGATAGTTAGAAACATCGATGAGAGAGAAACATCGATCAGCTGCCTCCTGCACATCTCCCAGTGGGAATGTGTCCGCAACCCAGGTGCATGTCCTTGACCGGAATCAAACCTGGGACCTTTCAGTCCGCAAGCCGACGCTCTATCCACTGAGCCAAACCGGTTTCAGCAGCACATAGGTATTTTAAAACACATTTGTATTGATTTCAGAGAAGAAGGGAGAGGGAGAGAGAGATGGAAACATCAATGATGAGAGAGAATCATTGATCGGCTGCCTCCTGCACGCCCCCTACTGGGGATGAGCCCACAAGCAGGCATGTACCCTGGCGGGGAATCAAACCCTGACCTCCTGGTTCATAGATCCACACTTAATCACTGAGCCACGCTGGCCAGGCACCCTCACTTTCATCCTACGCCCCCCTGACTTCCAGTGGCCTGGGAGGAGCTCAGTAGACTGGGGCCCAGAGTGGGATCATGGGGTTTATTCAAGGCTTAGGACTCAACTTGCAGAAGTTGCCGTGGGGTGTGCAGGGCTCAAGACCACAGGTGGTCTGTACAGCCCAGCAGTGGAGCAGGACAGACAGATGAGGAGCCCAAGTGAGGAGTGAGAGGGGTTTTGTGATCACCCACTCACTCCCTGTGGGAGGGCAGAGGTGGGCTTTCAGATCCCCTTGTGCCCACAGTCATACAGCCTGAAGGTGGCAGAGCCAGGGCCTAAACCCAGGGCTCTAAGCACAGTTCCTTCCGCTGCCCACCCAGCGCCTGGTGCTTTAGAAGGGCCCCAGCAACCCCTCCTGCTCTGGGGCCTTCCTGATCACTGTGACATACCTTCTGCTCAGGTGCAGCCGCCTATGAAGCCACCGTTCCTGAAAGTGGAGCAGCCCTCCAATCTGGGCCACGTGCCACACCCACCGTCAATGTATGGCCCCTCCGGCAGCTCAGGGCTTCGCAGCCACCGTGGGAGCACGAGGGACCCTCGGCCCTTTGGCAGTTTCCTGGATTTCCTTGTGGAGGGCCAGGTGCTAGAGAGCCTGCAGAGGGTGGTGGAGGAAGCAACTGAGCGCATGGCTACCATGAAGACAGAGACTGGGGCGCCGCTGGTGGATGTGCAGGACCCACTGGAGATGCCGAGGGGTGGGCGACGTGTGCGTGCCCGGCCCAGCCTCAATACTGTGCACCGGCACCATGTCCAGCCCAGCCTCTGCCTCGGGCACCCCAACAACTACCCATCCTGCTCCAGCTCCATGTCTGACTCACATAGCAACGCCACAGTCGGCTACCCGGGTTCCTACGGCCGGGACAGCGACCTGGGCTACCGCAGCCTAGGCCCACTGCCACCCATAAGGGACAAACTCCTGCAGGAGAAGAGCCTCAGACGGCTGCTGCGGCTGGAGAACAGAGGGGTAGGATGTGGGGCCATGGCCTGGGGTGGGGAGGATGGAGCCCAGACCAGAGCTCGGGGTCAAGCCTGGCTTGGCTGTTCCCGGACACCTCTGAGAATCCCCCTCTCTCTTCAGAAACGCCTGCCCTGCTCCCAGGGGGATGCCCTGCTGTGGGACTCACTGGGCTCAAGCTTGGGCACGCCGGAAGCATCAGAGCTGGGGATTGGCGAGAGAGAGCTGAAATTCCTCAAGAGAGAGTTCAACAAGGAGATCAAGTCCTTGCTGAGCCAGTCGGAGGCCTTCAACCTGCCCGGCTACTCTTCGTTCCGGGAGCCCCATCGGACCCTAGACCTCCTGGCCAAGCACCATCTCTTCCCTGCCCTGCAGAGTGTGGTCAACCAGGCTGTGGACAAGCTCAGTGGCGCCCTCCGGCAGAACGGCTGCCCTCTCTTCCCATCAGAATGGGAGCCCATCCCAGAGCCCCATTTAGAAATCACACCAGGCTCCAAACTGGCCACACCCAACCCAGAGGAGACCACTGATGATCTCTCCTCCACCGCAGCCTCCATCTCCAAGATGACTGGAAGAAAAAACAAGCCCAGACCACGGGACAAGCCCAAGGAAGGTGGTCCCACCATGTCTAATGCCCAAGGAGCCACCAGATTTAGGCTCCAGGTGATACCCACTGAAGAGCCCAAGGTCCCCTCACCCCGCACCAGGCAGGAAGCACCTGACCAGTACCCCAAAGAACAGAGATCACCCCTCTTTTCTTCTGGGCCTCTGAGCTCCAGCCAAAGGGCCCAGCCCTGGCGGAGCCTACACATCACCCTGCCTGCCCCCGGGATCAAGGTGGAAGTGCCCAAGCAGACCCACCTGACCCAGGTCACAATTCCGCATACCTTCCACCACCTCCCTGCATTCGTACCACTCTCCTCCTTAGTAAGAAAGCTCACCCCAACACTCGCTTCACTGTATTCTAATGTGACGACCTCTAGGGCAAAGCTGGAAAGTTTAGGGGCAGACTTGGAGGGCAAAGGCCCTGTCAGTCACCATTCCTAAAAGCCGCTGTCACTGGCAGGTGCCCATGGTTCAGGTCTCTCGCCCTGTACAGTGGAAACCACCTGAACAGGGGACAAGCTGATGGGGACGAGGAACCCTGGCCTAAATACTGCCAGGTGTTATGAAAGATGAATAAAGGCTATTTTTAATTCTGGGTATTCTTTTAACATTTGCATGTGAAATTGGAGACCGTCCCATGTGGAGAGGGTCCTGTCCCTTGTGGACAGCAGCCTGCGCCTAGAGTGGGGCTCTGCATCCGAGGTCTAATACCCTCTGGTCCTGCTGCCTGGGCCAGGGCTCCCGTGTATCTGCCCGGATGACAGGGATTTGACCAGGAAGGGTGTGGAGAAGATGTAGGTGGCTTCATCCTGGTGGGTCTCCAGCCCAGACCCAGACCCTCTCTGAACCCTTGATGGGTGACATCAAGGCCCAGGCACACCTCCCTCCTCTGAACCCTGGCCTGGGCAAGAATCTGCTGGAACCTGGGTTGTCCAGGCTCCCGTTTGGCTGACAATGTGACTACGGTCACCTGCCTTGTCCTGTAGCCTGACTGGTGTGGCCAGTGTGATGAGAGTGTGATAAGTGTGAGGGTTGGCCGACGTGCAGGACCTGTGCTGAGCTGTTGAGCGGGAAGCAGAGCAGAGGTGTTGAGGCCATACCCTTAGTGCGACAGGCCTGGTGTCCATGTGGGTGACATGTCGGGTGCTGTGGGAGTGAGGGACATCCCAGGACAGCAAGAGTGGCATGACATGTCTCCCTTTCCCTCCCTGGCTGGTGCACAGAGCCCCCATTACAACAGGAAGAAGATGACACTGCCCTCCATCTCCTCCAAGTCCATGTCCTGCATCTCCAACCCCTGGTCCGAGGAGCTTATCAACGACATGACGGAGCAGGCTGTCTCCTTGCTTGTCTGCAAGTACAAGTTTGAGAGGAACCTCACCAAGCAGCTGGGGCTCATCTCCGTCCCCATCACGGAGACCCTCGTGGACCTCTTGCTGGGCTTCAAGAAAGTGAAAGGCTCCAACATCTGCCTGTCCTCGGAGGTCAACTGGAACGACCTGCTCCGCATGCTGGAGGAGGCCCAGTGGGCCCGGCACGTGTCCCTGGAGGCCTCCCAGCATGACGCCTCCCAGCATGACGTCTCCCAGCACACTGCCTCCCCCCAAGGCACCTCCCCGCACAGCGTAGACACCCCCTCCATATTGTCTATGCCGGCCACTGTCCTGGATCAGGTGGCCGAGGAGCCAGGCCCCCAGGTACCCACCCTTCAGGAGAAAGGTACAGCGGAGGAGCACAAGCCCACGAACGAGTTGGAGCCCAAGCCCTCCGCATCCCAGAGCACTGGCACGGGCTTCAAGCAGCCTGAGCAAGTAGTGGACATGGGGGAGAAACAGAATAGGGAGGGGGAGGGGGAGGGGGAGGAAGAGGGGGAGGAGGAGGAGGAGGAAGAGGAGGAAGAGGGGGAGGAGGAGGAGGAAGAAGAGGGGGAGGAGGAGGAGGAGGACTATCACATTTTGGGGAGATGAGAATGAGACCCAGAGCACCCCTGAGTGTAGGCAGAGATCAGCCATTCCTCAGACGGCCCTGGAGATTGCCAGAGGCTCCGTAAGCTGAATCCAGTTCTGGATTCCCTACTCTCTCTCCTGCTCTAGGGAAATGTTGTCCACCCAGCTGGCCCCTGTCCCGAGCAGAGATCAGAACAGTCTAAATGCCCACAAGACGCTCTGTTCAGCCTCTCAAGAGATCCAACAGGGAGAATAAAGTTTCTGTTGATGGAGCAGTGTTCTCGTCTGGAGATTTCAGCCTCCCTTTCACGCACTTGCTCCCCTGCCCCTGGATAGCACATCCCAGCGGGCCAGGCCTGGCCGCCGCCGGCTTTCAGGACAGCTGGCCGTGCTCTGACCCCTGTGACCTCACATGCGCTGTTGAACACAAATCGCTGTTCATGGCTTTTCTGTCCTCCAGTCAGCATCGTCCCGGCTCTTCAGGCTTCTAGGGTTCATGGTCCCCTTCCATCACAGCCTCTTGTGCATCATGGCTTCTGCTTCCAGTGGCGGCTCCTCTGCCAAGGCACTTCTCCCCTCCCTTTGGCATGCCACACCCTCGTATTCCTACTGAGGAGCCACCCTTTCCTGCTGCTGCTCTCACGCCCACCTGTTTTCTTAATTTGTACTTCCTACCTCCACCTTCTGAACCTGGAGGTTCTATGCCACGCCACATGGTGCTGCGGCTTGGTCAAGCTGTGGATTGGCTGCCCCAGGTTGGCGACTTGACTCTCCTTATTTCAGTGGTGCCGGACAGGCTGTCTCCAAAAGGGTCCGTGGGCACGGCAGGTCTCATCTCCAAGGCTCTCTGGGGGCTTCTGGCCTTCCTGTGCCACCAGCGCAGCGCCCTCCTTCCCTCTGCCTTCTCAGGGCAGTCGGTCTGCTCCCCTGTTCAGGCATCTTTGTCCAGGGACCAGCTCCACCTCTCCCCTCACCACCCTTTCCCCACGGCTGAGAGACCACGCGAAGATGCTTCACACTGTCTCAGCACCCAGGGGCAGAGGCCAGGCCTGCGCAACCCAGCCTGGACATGCTCAGTGGCCCCCCAGGAAGGACCGCTGGAGCCAGGCAGAGAGGACCTTCCGCACAACACCCACACCCTGCGCCTCAGGCAGAAGAATTATCCTGTTTTCCTAATTTGTACTTCCTACCTCCACCTTCTGAACCTGGAGGTTCTATGCCAAGCCACATGGTGCTGCGGCTTGGTCAAGCTGTGGATTGGCTGCCCCAGGTTGGCGACTTGACTCTCCTTATTTCAGTGGTGCCGGACAGGCTGTCTCCAAAAGGGTCCGTGGGCACGGCAGGTCTCATCTCCAAGGCTCTCTGGGGGCTTCTGGCCTTCCTGTGCCACCAGCGCAGCGCCCTCCTTCCCTCTGCCTTCTCAGGGCAGTCGGTCTGCTCCCCTGTTCAGGCATCTTTGTCCAGGGACCAGCTCCACCTCTCCCCTCACCACCCTTTCCCCACGGCTGAGAGACCACGCGAAGATGCTTCACACTGCCTCAGCACCCAGGGGCAGAGGCCAGGCCTGCGCAACCCAGCCTGGACATGCTCAGTGGCCCCCCGGGAAGGACCGCTGGAGCCAGGCAGGGAGGACCTTCCGCACAACACCCACACCCTGCGCCTCAGGAGGAAGACTTACTACACTGCGAGCCAGGGGGATCAGAGCGCTAAGGTGGAGGTGGGGAGGGGGGTCAGGGACCCACTTTACCACAGAGCTCTTTTGAGAAGGATCTTTCAGGGAACATGCCCAGCCCATAAGACCCATTCCCTGAGGCCACCCACTGCCACCACCACCACAGTGTGGAGCCACGATAGCCGTATTCTTGCACGTGGCCACAGTGCTGGGACCTATTGGCACAACTCTAGCCAAGCGAGGCCACTTAGGTTCTTTCCTAGAGATTCTGGTGCAGTTTGCACTGACGGCTGAAGGCAAGCGTGGATGGTGAAGAGCAGCCATCTTCCACCCCTCTCCAGAGAGGGCAAGAAACGCTGATGGCAGGAGGGAGCCAAGAAGGGGAGCCCCAGGATTCTGAGAGCGAGCAGCTATCGATACCCGTCAACTTCCCAGGTCCCACTGCCGAGTCCTCAAGGGAGAATTGAACATATCCCCTCCCCAGCCTCCGAAGTACGTGCCCAGGGACTGTCCTGGGATGGGAGCAGGCCCTTTCCCTTGGAAACTACTGGCACATGGTACTAGAGACACCTGACCTTAGCTCCTGTTCCAGGTGTCTTGCTGTGTGAGAAACCACTCTGAGACTTAAGTGGCTCCAAACCATTTGTCATGATCCTGGATTTTATTTTATATAAACCCTTAAGTCTGCAGGCCAACGCTCTATCCACTGAGCCAAACCAGTTAGGGCTTATTTTATATTTTTTATCCTTATTCAAGGATATGTGGCGGTGGTGGTGGTGATGGTGTGTGTGTGTGTCTTATTTATTCTTAATATTTTTATTGATTTCAGAGAGGAAGGGAGAGGGAGAGATGGAAACATCAATGATGAGAATCATTGATTGGCTGCCTCCTGCACACTGGGTATCGAGCCTGCAACCCAGGCATGTGCCCTGACCTGGAATGGAACTATGACCAGCTGGTTCATAGGTCAATGCTCAGCCATTGAGCCACCATGGTGAGGCTGTGTGTGTGTTTTTTAAAAAATTTATTAGAGGGGGGCGCATGGAAAGAGAGAGAAACATCTACGTGAGAAAGAAATATCAATTGGTTGTCTCCCATACTCACTTTGGCTGGGGATTGAGCTCACAACCTAGGCATATTCCCTAACCAGGAATGGAACCCGCAACCTTTGGTGTACAGGATGATGCTCCAACCAACTGAGCCACCTGGCCAGCAGTATTTTTTTTATAATCCACTTCTAGAGTAGGGTATTTATCATAAACTTGCTCAGTAGAAGAATAAGAGTCCATTTTGTTTATGAGATTGCAAAACACTCAAGAAGTTTGACTATTCAGACATGCATTGAACCTGGAGCCCACACAACACCAACGAAATACAGTGTTTTGAAACAAGAAGCAATTTTAAAAATAAAACTGACCATATAATAGGTTGATCATTTAGCGTCTAATTGAATTACAAAACATCTCCCCTAAAATGCTTTTTAATCTAACTAGGGGCTTGATTCACTAATAAGTTTAGAAATACAGTCTATTATAGCCACAGACACCCACAAATATGCCATCGGGGAATGAAAAAATCGTGTATTTTGAGGGTTGTGTTATTGGGACCATGACCTTCATTCCAGGGACCCCAAAGTTGCTTGTACTAACTCAGGAGAGGTCACCCGATTCCCAGAGAGAAACAGGAAGAGGACAAAAAGAATGAACACTTCCCTTTCTGACAACGGTCCCTTTCTGCAGGTGCCTGGCATGATCTGATATATAAGGCACAGTCACTTTCCTGTGTAGAGAATGTCTTGGAGGAGCCAGGGTATCAGAAGCAGGGAAATCAGTTAGGATGGGGTGGTAGATATCTAGAGGGAAGATGGGGTGACTTGGATTAGGGTGGTGATGAGGGAGGGATGCAGGAGAGTTGCCTCCCAATCTTTTTGGAGTCAGTGTTGGATTAGATGTGAGTGCAGCAAAGAGAGGAATCAGAGATGAATCCCAAATTTTGGCCTTGAGCAACTGGAGACTGTTGTAAGTTTCCCACCCTTGAAGACCCCTGCATGTCAGGAACCTGGAACACACAGTCGCCTAGGCTTGGTTGCTACAGTCACTTTCTAACGGGGCTCTGGTTCCCTAAGAGCTTTAGGGCTTTCCGGTGAGAACATGCCATTACAACAAACACCACAGCTCCCTGCTGCCCTCTGCTGCCTGGTGGCAATAGTGTCAGGGAAGGAGTCGGTGAGAGGCATGTGGATTCAGAAACCCCAGGGTCCAGGGACTGAGGTGACCCAATGTCAGAGAGGGGAGATGACCGAGTGACTGGGGGAGTATTGAATCCGGGAGTCCGGGAGCTGAAGGGCCAGGCGATTCATTATCTGACATCTGTCGACTTTGTGACCACAACATTCAGTGGTCGAGCAACCTCAAGACCCTGCAGCTTCGGACCCAGGGGCTGAGGACAGAGGCCACGATTGCGGGCTCGGGGATCCAGGATGAAGAAGCCTCATGACCGGGTTCAGAGGCTGCTGTTGGACCCTCCCCTACATCCTCCTGCGGCAGCTCTCCCACCGCTGGGAGCCGCACCAGCCTCCCTTGGCTGCTCATTGGCGGGGCGTCGGAAGCGTGGACCAATCAGAACCCTCCTCGTGTCTCCAGCTCCCTCCTCTGGAAAGCTGGCCGCGACGAGCCAATGGTAGGGCCGGCGGAGCGCCGTGCGGATCTGCGATTGGCTGCTGCGGGGCTCGGTCCCAGCCGGATTGGCCGGCTGCGGAGACGGAAGCGGCTCGGGCCGGAGCTGGCGGAGCCCGGCGGGGCGATGTGGAGCGCGGGACGCGGCTGCGCTGCGGTTGCGGCGCTGCTGGGGCTGCTGCTGGCGTTCTCGGTGCCGGGCAGTGGCGCCGCCAAGACCGGCGCGGGGGTCGTGACCTGCGGGTCGGTGCTGAAGCTGTTCAACACGCAGCACAGGGTGCGGCTGCACTCGCACGACGTCAAATACGGATCCGGTGCGCGGGGCCTAGGACTGGGCATCGCTCGGGGGCGGGGCGGGGGCTGGGAGTTTGAAGGCTGAGTGATGGTGCGGGGTCTGCGGCCAAGGGCCTGAGGGTGTTCTGGCTGGAGGTATTGGCGGTTGGAGGGGGTCGTCGCTAGGTTGGGGGCGAAGAGGGTGGTCTGGGAGTTCATCCGGGGACCAGGTGGGGAAGCTGGAGGGGAGCCGTTAGGGTATCGGGGTGGAGGCGGTCCTGGAAAGTTTATGGCGTTTGGGCTGAGGGTCGCGGGTTCCGGGACTGACGGCGACCCCGTGGGTGGGGTGGGGTGTCGCCCTCAGGCAGCGGCCAACAGTCGGTGACCGGCGTGGAGGCGTCTGACGACGCCAATAGCTACTGGCGGAT